TTCCGACTGCCAGAATGCTGGAATAGCAGTTTTAGAGTCCTGCTAAAGGAACGGATGAATAGTTTTTTGTGCGTAATTTCAGGAACAGGAAACTCTCTCAGTTCCCAGAGGAGCTCTGGAACATAAGGCAGCCGTAGAACAGCTGCCTTTGTTATCACTCAGTTTGACCCTTGTTCTTTGAAAGGTTCTCCACCATTCTCAATCTGCAGTAACATCGACGGTGCATAACCTCTGGGAGTTTGTTTGACATTTCACCAAATAAACATCAATTCTACCACTTATTATGTCCAATATTTGTCAAAGTCTTCTTTCATGATGACGAACTTCTCTACAGAGAAGTCTACACATCTAATATTTATTCATATATTCAAATAACGCATCAGACCCAATCACTATGTGGCGGAGAAGTACAGTAATAAGCACAACTTCAAAAAGAATCCCCAATCCGTGATTAAATCAATTACTTCATTTCGAGAAAATACGAGTAAAGAGTAGGTTTTTCCCAAAGGAGTACAACCAAAAAATAAAAGACAAATTGACTATTTGAGGCAAAGCTTCACGCATTTTTAAACTGGCTCTGGAGGAGAGTGATTAATTTCGGATGCGTTATTCCCGGTATCCACTAATTTTGGCAATGAATGGGCCCCAGACCCAGTCTGAACCAAGCACTGAGAAGAAATAACCCGGTACAACAATTTGTAGTCCTTCACTTTATTGCCTCATGGAGGACGGGATGAAAATGATATTTACTACTTTAATTCGGTAATACATCACGCTATTAGAGAAAATTATGATCCATCGCTACCAAAGCTCTCACTCCTAAATAAACTTGTTACTCACACGTAAAACCGGCAGGCATAAAACTGAATATTTTATTTGGTCTGCAGGCATTCAGTATTAGGCTGCGCAAGTAAAATATTCACTAAGACCGAGCTGCAATTCTCATATTTTCCTTAGGTTCTCATACGCATTTCTATGAACTCAATTTTCCTCTCCGTTGATCGATGCCCCAGTACGATTTATTACAATTGTAAGAGTTCAATAAATCCAATTATAAATTCAAACCTCGTGTCTAGTCAATAGACAAGTGACAATATCTTCGAATACGCAGTTCCTTATTTAGCTGTAAGAATACGCGGTAGTGTAGTTAGTTGAGGCACTATGCTACAAGTCGGAAGGTCGCGGGTTCAAGCCCCAAAGAGGTCATTGGATATTTTCAATTGACCTAATCTTTCCAGCCGCACTATGGCCCCGGGGTCGACTCAACCTCTAACAGAAATGAGTACCAGGAATATTCTTGAAATATTCTTGGGGGTAAGAGGCTGCCGGCGCGTAAGGCTAACAACCTTGCCGCCATCTGTGAATCGATTGTCTGGAAAATGTGGGAACCTCAACCTCTCACAACCCTATAGGCCTCCACGGCCTGTTAAAGGGATACCTTTACTTTTACTCTTAAGAATAGGCACTGCAATTCTGCTAATTCATTCTTACGTGAACCAAATCCCAAAAACGGCATTCCTGCGGGGGTTTGTGAGCTTCATAGTCACAAATATTTTGCAAAATACCGATATGACAAATTTTTCCCACTGAAACTAAAAGTCAACATACTTGTACATTTTTTTTATTGCTAGTGAGGTGGGACTAAGTCCCTTGTACTGCGGCCACTTCTGGCCTATTGTACCAGCCCAAGATGATAGGTGAGGGTGACTGTGGAGTAATTGGTGGAATGAAGATTGGCAAGGAAAACCGAAGTACTCGGAGAAAACGTGCCCCAGCGCTCTTTGTCCACCACAAATCACACTTGACCAGAACCGGGATCGAACCCGGGCCGCAGCGGTGGGAAGCCAGCGACTAACCGCTTGAGCTATGGCGCGGCCAGCAACTCGTACATCTTACTACCGGTCTCAATCAAGCATGAAACGAAACTATGAAAGTCAGGTAAGAATGTAATATTGACTGAAAAACTTTGCCTTGCTGTATTGTAATTAACTATATCTCGAGCTTCAAATTGTCGTAATGGTTCATTTCCTTTAACTACGAACGTAGTAACAATAACATTATCAAATAAAATTCAACACACCATCCCTTCTTTTAACGTATATTTCTGCAATTAGTAGTAGTCCAGAATTAAAGACTACAGCCTATATTCAAATAGCAATATGACATATTTCATGCCAATATTGCGCTGGATATCACAATATAACAAATGTATCGTAAACATGTATAAAGTCGCCTTACGAACACAATCCGGATAAAAGGGATGCCGAAAGTTAAGAGTCATTCTTCAGGTCTTTCTTGCCATTTATGGAAACATCTGGAATATCCTCAGTCTAGAAAATAATTATTATAAGAACACGCTGAAATATTTCAGGTATAAGAAGCATTTATTAAACATAACACATTACTGGAAAAATTTTCAAACTATGCAACTTTTCAGAATTACTGAGTCTGACTTTGTCCATCATCCGGTATTCTAGAAACCTGAGGAAGGAAACAGATCCAGTTTCCACAACGTTGTTTCCCAGTTACTAGAATACCGGACGATGGACAAGGTCCAAAAACACAGTAATTCTCCTTATTATACACCCTTGTCAGAACCTTTCCGAATCTATTATGCAGGTATTTTTTCGTCAGCATAATAATCTATTCTAAAGATGGGGGCGATACGCTCTTCCGAAACGTCGGTGGACTTCTACCGAACTACACGGCGTTACACCGTAGAAGATCGAGCTCTTCGTAGTCACCGTCATGACAATTTCAAATCCAGTACATGGGAAGAGCTAGGCATTGACTGGAGAATAATCTGAAAATGAATCTTAAATAATGTGTGTATTGGATTGAAGTGGCTTAAGACAGGCTCCAGTGACGACCGCTTTTGTACGCGAAAATACATCTTCGGGTTTCATATACACTGGAAGTTTCTGACTACCTGAGCAAGTACCATCTTCTTGGTTAATGCACAGCTGCAAAGTTAGGAGACTTCAAAGATCAACAAGAACTTACATTCAAGTGCGAAGCTTAAATATTAACTGTTTATATCGGAAGTGTGTTTGTGTAGGTTCGTAGAATGTCAGCACGTGAAAGTATTCGCTGCAGAACTACAAGCATATGTCCATGACGTAGTTTCTCAAAAACCATGTTGACCTTGATCTACTATTAAATTTAACTGAGACACTGCGATTGCACCCTTTTTCAATTACAACTTTTGTAACATACGTTAAGATACAACAGTGTTAGTTGAGTCCATCTGTAGTCTGACGTTCCGCGTTATTTCTAATAGGCTTATGGTAGTAATGGCAAGTAATGATACTAAATTAATGTTTAAATTATAAAGGATGCAGATACAGCCAACTATACTAATTATTTCATCATTTTCCTAGAGGAACTGGAGAATGATATTAAAATGTTATTAGAATCTCACAATAAATATCGGGCATCCTCACGTTTTTACTGTTAATATAGTAACAGTGTTATTAGCTCAGAATAGGGACCAGTGGAGGGCTCTTCTAAACACGTTAAGGAAACTTCGGGTTCCATAAAATTCAGGGAAATTCTTGAGCAGCTGCAAATTTGGCTTCTCAAGAAGGGCTCAAGACTTTGAGTAAGTAAGTAAGTTGTTGTTGTTGTTGTTGTTATTGTTATTATTATTATTACTATGTTATACTCAATAGCGAAAATGAATAACTTTGAACAACATATTGCAGTAGCTGAGACGTGAGATTGCGGCACCAAGACGAAGATTTCAAATAGTAATACAATAAGTTATGAAATAGGTCTATAGGCCTATATCTGACACACAAGTCCCAACAAAAGTTCACAGCAGTATCAGAATACTGTGATTCATCCACTGCTACAAACTGACATGAAAAATTTGTTGTAACTACAATACTCCAATTTTGCTAATATATCTTAACCAATTTGTCATCTAAGTGGCCCATGTCCACTGTCAAGTTTTACCCATATGTTTGTGCCTGTGAAGCACATGATGATAGTGGTGGTGATGATAATGACGATTTTGCTGTACCATACCCCATATCATTTCAATGTAATCAAAGCGAAGGGAAGTCCTTTCCTTCAGGGATGAAGACGCAGATCGCGGTATTTTTGTTTCGATGACAATGATGATATGGCCAATGGCTATCTTCCTATATACAGTTTTGGCCTCCATGCTCGTAAAGTAAAGTAAAAGGTAGATATACAGTTGTCCCTGTGCTTAACTAATTAAGTACTACGCTATGAAGGCGTATGGGGAAGTGGTTGTATATATCCTTATTTCTCTTGACCTCGACATTAGTTGGAGGTGAGTGGTCAGCTTCACGACCCGGTCACTTTAAGCAGGGGAAAGAGCCCCCGGTAACCAGTGGATACAAAGCTGGTCTCTTTGGGTGCACTCAGGTTTAATTATTGTACGCCCCACACACCTATGTTTCAGTTTTGGCTGAGATGTTAAATCGAAATTTGTAATGTCCTGCATTTAACCACATTAATGACACTTATTACAAGTCTATGCGAAATGTTCTGAACGAATCTAGAAATACGACAAAAATATTTCGAATCCAAGTTTCGCCTCTTAATTATCATATCTTATTGCTGTCTCCCTATAGTGGTGAGAATACCGTTCAGGGGCTAAGTAGGCCTTCTCCTGAGGCCAGTGACCTTCTATAGTTCTTAAATGATGTGTCAATAAGGCTGATGCCACAGACTCTTCCGATACAATCAGCGGTCACTGACACAACGTGGCACATTAGAACACAACCACAGGTAGAACTTGACCTCACAACATGTAACCACGACATTCCTTAGTGGACTCTCTCACATGATAGCAACATCAGATGAAAGAACTGACAGTTGTTTAACGCTATGCTTTACGCTTAAGCCGCATGGAAATTCTGCATTGTGAGGAAATAGGATGAGAGCAAATAACCTCGCTGCTCGCCCACTGGAATAGGAGAATGCGTGTGTTTGCTGGCAACAGCTTCGTGAGGTTGAAAGCCACTTACCTGGATATCAGAGAATGACTGGTCTCCAGCTGAAATCTATTCATTGGAAGAAATCCGTTGCCGTAAAGCACAAAGCACAGGTTTGTAACAAGTTCTTCCCCTAGTTTTACGCCAGATTTTTCATATATGTTCTTTTATCAAGTCACAAGCAATCCCCATCGCATAACACAATACATACGAATCCTGATTTTAATTCTGTCTTCCATATGTCCATCACGTAAGCGTATTTTCCATGAAACACAAAAGAGAGTAATCCTTTATTGGTGGTACGATGTGTGGTAGGATAGCAAGGATCAAATTGAAGACAATGCAGCAGCCTCGGCAGGCATTGCACTGAGCTACCACTACCAATTTACTAGCGTTCTGGACTGAAACTAGAAACGCAGCAGCACTGTCGCCACCTAACAGACTGGCCGACTGATCCTCGGCCAGCCAGGGCCCAAGTACTCACTGGCTCAAGCCACTGAGGACAAGTTTGCCTTTCACCAGCCGCTGCCTCCTCGCTAGCAATCCCAAGGCTATTCGTTAATGCGGAAAGTGTATGGTTCCTCCAGTTGCAGTCATATGTAAGGAATGGGTTGTGGAATGCTTACCCGAAATTCTTCCTTACTGCAGGGGAAAGGAGCCAGTGAGACCCTTAATAATCGTCAATACAAATTAAAGTGAAGGCAATTAAAATTTCGTTGAAGTGTTATATATTCTGGGAAATAATGTCATGGAGTGCGCATATCACAGAAGACAGGGAAACTCCATAATCTCTACTGCGAGAACCTCAAGTCTTACAATTTCGTTATTTAGCTATTTAAAAGCCACTTTCTCATGGCTAGGTTACATAACTTTTTTCTTTATAAGTGGAAGTATTATTTAAAAAGAAAAGTTTGAGATTCCTTTAAAATGAAATGAATATGCAAACAAATACCTAAAGAAATGAAAATCCCTGCCAATAAAGGTCAATAGGACAAGATGAAACAAAATGAAAGGAGATCTGACAGGAAAACTAAATGCTCTAAACATCTTAAGCAGAACACAGAAAAAGAGTTTACTCAGATTTTTTAAGAAAGAAATGCGTCTAAGTTTGTATTCAATTTACAAGATGGGTGATACAACTGATTCTAGTAATCACCGTGTGAGATCTCTGCAATCAACTTCATACAAAATGTTACCCTATATCCTTCTTTCAATGTTCAGTCCATATATATATGAAATAATTGAGGGTTTTGACAAAACAGATCGACTACTGTTCAGAATTTTTCCATTCATCAGATATTGGGGGAAAATGGCGGTACAATAAGAGAGTTGGCCAACTATTCATAGACTTCAAGAAAGCCTATAATTCAGTAAGGAGGGAAATATTGTACAGTATTCTCATAGAGTCTGAGGTACACATGGAACCATTTAGGATGATTAACTGTTTTTAATTAAAACGTATAGTAAAGTCTGTGTAGATAAAAATTTGTCTAATACGTTTGCTATCCAAATTGTTCTAAAATAAGATGGTTTATCATCATTGCTTTTCAACTTTTTTTTAGAATATGTCATTAGGAAGGTCCAGGAAAACAATGTAGGTCTAAAATGAAATGGGGCACATCAGTTTCTGGTCTGTGCCGATGATGTAAAGCAATTTGGGACAGAACATAGTTGCCACAAAAAACTCAGAAACTATAATTAACGATAATAAGGAGATTAGTCTAGAAGTAAACGCAGAGAAAACTAAGTACATGTTGCTGTCTAATCAACAGAATGCAGGGCAAAATCGTGTCATAAAGAGAGCTAATAGATCCTTTGACAACTTGGCACAGTTTAAATATGTGAGAACTGCAGTAAGAAATAAAAATTTGATTCAGGAGGAAATTAAGAGGAGATTGATTTCGGGTAATACTTGCTACCATTTAGCCCAGAACCTCGTCTACACTCTAATAGCAAAACTATAATTTTGCCTGTGATTCTGTATGGGTGAGAAATTTGGTCTCTGATATTAAGGCAGAGCTATAGACTAACAAGTGAGGGTGTTTGAGAACAGGGAGTTGAGGTGAATATTTGGACTGAAGAAGGATGAGATGAAAAGAGGCGGAAGATAACTGCATGTTAAAGAGCTTCATAACTTTTACTCTTCGCCAAGTATAAAGGGAATGATCAATCAGCGGACCGAGTGGTGAGCTATTTTCAACAGTATATAGTTTTCTATTCAGAAGCCTTTTTCTTCATTCTGTGACATCGCAGTGTTACAATCTAACAACGGTAAGAGTGTGTATATATACAAAATATTAATCTGTATTTGGGATGTGTATAGCTAAGAAAGTAACTTAAATTTCCTGGGTTACTCTCGAAGTGTCTATAATTATTCGGGCGAAAAATAATCCTGCTGTTACGGACACTGAAAATTCATTATCCGTTCACAAATTCCTGCCGTTATGTATCTATCCTGAGACTTTTGAATCATGCCCGCAACTTTACAATATATTTATTTAAGTTTCATTATAACATGTCTTTCAGTTTCAATCTTTTAACCTCATGACGGGAAAAGTTTCAAGGTTTATAACGATCAAATTCATGACTGCCATAGTGAATCGGGAATACAGACGAGGATGCACTAGCTAAGGAGAGTGGCACGTGCACCACACAGAAGTTCACGTAGTGTGTGAGAGCGTGGGGTAGAATTTAACTGAGCCAGGAGAGAGCCCAATGGTGGGCTCTTGTGAACACAGCAATGAATATTCTGGTTACAAAAAATTCAGGAAATATCTTCACTAGCTGGGAGATTATCAGCATGAAGTTCTTCTTACTACCTGCTTCCCTTTGGTTTCTTGCTTGGTTTACTCTTGGACCCTGAAGATGGAAGCCATATATTCCTCTTATATGTTGACTAACTTTCAACGGATTACACGGCATTATATCCGGGAAAACAGAACTCTTGAGGAGCACCGTTGTGAGAACCTCAGGTCTTACAGCTCAGTGCTTTATTTATTCATCTACTTACTCAACAGCACAAAGTCCATTTAGAAAGTAAAAGCAAAGACAGAAACAAACACACACAGAAAAAAGATAAAGGACAAAGATGTAAATAGTGTCATTCAAGCAGTAATAAATATTAAGCAACCATTACGTGGCAAGTAATAATATATATATACATGTATTCGTATTGAACAAAATTAATATTTTAATACGTAAGAAAGCTCCATTAAGAATATGATTAGGAGATATAATATTGGTTCCATAATAATAATTCAATTTAATTCTTTATTATTTCTGTGCCGAGTCAACAGCCGCAAGGCCAATTACAGAAAGAACACAGTGTAGATACAAGTAATTACATTATGGACAATCACAACATAAAATCAAAGAATGAAATTTGCAGAAGAATGGGTGAGTACAATGGAGATCCAGGCGACAGTTTCTACTGCGCTAGTACACTATTAAAAAAAAATAAGGCTATCGAGAGTCGAACAAGGAGACGTAATATAACGAATCAAATCCGGCGTTTATACAACTTGAGAAAGAATATAACCAATATGACGGCGAAAATAGATCAAGTCTACGCTTAAACCGAGAAACTGAATGATAAGCTGCACTAAGATCAGCACCACCAGATGAAATGCATTCAACAGAATCCCTAACTGTCGAAAAAACGGTCAGGAAAGAGGTTGTGATTGTGAAAACAATCGGTCTACAAGGTCTTTATAGTGCATATAGTTTTGTTTTCTAAGGACAAACATTGAGACCGCCTCTGTGGTCTAGTGGTCAGAGTTTCTGCCTACAGATCCAGAGGTCCCAGGTTCGATTCCCGTTGCTACCAAATTTTCTGAGAAGTAGTGGGTCTAGAACGGGGTCCACTCAGCCTTGTGAGCATAATTGAGGAGCTATTTGAAGGAAATAGCGCCTCCTGTCTAGAAAACCGAGATTAATGGCCATGGGGATCCGTTGCGCTGACCACGAGACACCCTCTATCCGCAAAAGTTTGCACCTACTTCGCCGACAAGCGGCGGTCGCTCGGTCAGTATACTTTGCTTGCGGACTACAGGCTACAGAGAAGAACAAATATTGTCAAAAAAATGGTACATTTGCTACGTAATGCTTCAAATATTTTATAAAATATATATATGTGATCAAGATAAATTTTACCGTACAGGGCGTGGCGGTCCAAATTAGAGTCACGAGCTGCTCGACGTTAAGTATTAAGCACTTCAATCGCTTGCTCCTCACGCCACACTGACACTAGCAGAACTGATAAGCTTAACGTTGGGAAACATAACAGCAGCAGAGGGAACTCCAGCATTGAAAGTCCAACAGGTGTCATGATGGAGAACATGCAAGAAGGAGTAAATTTTCCTTGATAAAAAAAAATGGTATCCAATAGGCCGAACACGAGCATTGTTGATGAATGGAAACACATCGCCAAAAGCCGAACACTGAAAACATTCAAGCGTGTAAGGTTCTAATTATGGCACAGAACAAATTCTTGCAGCCTAATTTTTCTTTTAATTATTTTTCATAAAAAAATGGCCTAACCCCAGGACTAAATCGTCATAAAAGAAGGTGCTTCGGTATTTTCCTCTTTCAAAATAACTGAAAAAAAAAAACATAATTCCTTAGTCAAAAGAGAAACTGACGACGACAATTGAGAGTGTTGACCGCAAAGAGACCAAGATGGGTTCCTTTTTGTAACTGCTTTAAATTCGCTAGAATCCGTTTGAAGTGCAGAAACCTTCTGTTGCAGACATGATGATGCAACGTCCTTGCGTGACACACCACGCGTGTCAGCAAAAGTCACGGTAGGAGCTGATGACGCTGCTGCTTTATGCGGCGGAACGTCATTAAACAAGTCTGATGGCCTCCAGTATGTAGGTGTAACAAACTATAACTAAGAACTAGGTATATTGGCCAACAACTTACTTCAAACAAATTTTAGAAAAATTTTTACCTTTTTATAGAATTTTTATAATGTCTGAAGTCATTTTATCACCAAAGTAGAGTACTTACTCCACTGAGTATCAATGTTCCACGCTCGACACTAAGGGACTGAAGGTTCCGTAAATTAACCTCTCTTTCTGGAGACAATTATTAAGAATCTCCGAATTGGAAGCGAATCTCAAATTTCGAGTAAGTTTTGCACACAAAGCACATTGAGGTCTAAAAATGGATTTGTCTTTGACAGTAAACGAAAAAGTATTCAGTGACATTCATTATAAACACGAGAGGTGTGATACAGAGGCACGTGCCCCCAATATATAATATATTTCTGTTTCTCATGGTAGATTTTATTACAATAATTACAGAAATCTGGACCGGTCACGGTAGCCGAGCTGTCTAAGACATGCACTGTCTTCGCTCGCTCGGAACCCTGGATCGTGGGCTCGAATCCCACTCGGGGCATGAACGTTTGTGTGCATTTTTCTGTGTTTGTGTACAAGCAGAGGAGTCCTACCGAATGTGTAAGATCTAGAAAAACCG